ATACCACTACAAGCCAAGGAATGCCAAGATTTCTGGGAGCCATCAGGAGCTGGGAATATGTAAGAAAGGATTCTTCCCTAAAGCCTTCTTACAGAACATCTGCCTGTTGACACCTTGGTTTCAGACTTTTAGCCTTCAGAACCTTGAGAAAATTAATTCCTATTATTCTAAGCCACCAATTTGGGGTAATTTGTTACGGCAGCTGTTGGAAAGTAATCGAAGTTTTGGTATTGAAAAGGAGATCCTACTATACCAAATTCTTCAAAATGTGGAAGTGGCTTTGGAATTGGATAATGGATAGTGGTTGGAAGAATTTTGAGGCACATAACAGAAAAATTCTGGACTGCCTTGAAGAAATTTTTGGTAGAAATACGGGCATTAAAAGACATTCTGGTAAGGGTTCAGAAAGAAGTAAAGAGAACTATAGAGAAATCTTCTATCATCCTACAGAATACATATATTATCACGAACAGAATGTTGGTAGAAGTAATAATGTTAAAGGTAATTCTGGTGAGATCTCAGAAGGAAGTGAAGAACATGTTACTAGACACTAGGGAAAAGGAGACCCTTGTTTAAAGTGGCAGGAACTTTGCTGAATTGTCTTCTACTGTTAGGTGGAAAGCAGCACTTGTTAAGTGATGAGCTTAGATAACGAACTGAGGAAATTTCCAAACAAAACATGGAAGTCATGGCCTGGTTTCCCCTTGCTGCTTATAGTAAAATGTTCGAAGAAAAGTAAAATGGAGGAAGAAACTATTAAGCAAAAAGGAAACAGCACTTGACGATTTTGAAAATTCTCAACCTCCAGACAGCAAAAGATGAGAAAGCATGCTCTGGAAAGAGCACCAAGGGTACAGGTGGGCAACCTTTTGCTACAGAGATTAGGCATGTGAATGCGATCTGTGGATCCAATCAACCTTCTCAGCAGAAGCCAAGAATACGAACAAATTTATCCAGGAAGAATCTGTGGAGAACCCTTTGTCTCACGGCTTGGGCTCCCATGAATTGCACTGGAGACCAACCAGGTTCTTGAGAATATTACACCAGCAGAAATACTTCCACCCTGGGCTGAAAGGGTGACAGGATGAAATGAAGGCTTTCAATCTTCCAAAACTCTATGCAGTTACGCTCACATGTTATCCTTCAAGAAAAAAGAAGAATGTCTCTTGTTTGGCCTGAATTCAAACAAAACCTCCCCAAAATTCATAAGTTGAAGTCCTAACCCCCAGTATCTCAGAATAAGACCATATTTGGATACAGGGCCTTCAAAATAATTAAAGTAAAATGAGGTCATGTGGGTGGGCCCTAAACCAAAAGGACTGATATCTGGGGTTTTTGTTTTGTTTTGTTTTGTTTTAGCTGAGGAAGATTTGCCCTGAGCTAACATCTGTCACTAATCTTCTTCTTTTTTTTTCATGTGAGCCACCACTACAGCATGGCCACTAACAGACTAGCAGTGTGGTTCCATGCCTGGGAACTGAACCTGGGCTGTCGAAGAAGAGCATGCTGAACTTTAACCACCAGGCCATAGGGGCTGGCCCTAACTAATGTTTTATAAGAAGAGATTAGGAAACAGACATACACAGAGGGAAGATCACGTGAAGGCATACGGAGAAGGCAGTCATCTGCAAACCAAGGACAGAGGCCTCAGAAGAAACTAACCCTGCTGACATCTTGATCTTGAACTTCTAGCTCCAGAACTGTGAGGAAATAAATTCCTGTTGCTTACACCACCCAGTCTGTGGTATTTTATCACAGCCCCAGCAAAGTAATACAACTCCCAAGGTGGCAGAGGGGCTGGCGGGACCTCCACGGGCCCAAAGGGTGGAGCCTCTGCTGGCCAAAGGGAAGAGCATTGAACAACAGAGGGTTATTCTCAGGGCTTGAACCCTAATAGAATTTGCCCTGCTGAGTTTTGAACTTGCTGGGAACAAGTGATCCCCACATCCCTTCCTTTTTCCCCCTTTTGGAATGGAAATATGTCTTACCTCTGTCCCACCCTTGTATTTTGGAGGCAGATAACTTGTTTCTTAGTTTCACAGGTTCATAGATGGACAGGACTTTCGCCCTAGAATGGATCACACCGAGAGTCTCACACGTATCTGATTTACATTATTTAGATGATGAGATTTAGGACTTAGAGTTGATGCTGGGTTGGGTTAAGACATTTGGAACGGCCTAAGAATGTTGGGATGAGATGAAGGCATTTTGCACATGGGAAAGACATGAATTTGGGGCAGGGAGAAGGGCAGACACTAGCTCATAGTGGGTTGAATTGTGTCCCTTAAAAACACATGTTAAGTCTCAATTCCTGGTACCTGTGAATGTGCCTTATTTGGAAACAGCTTTGCAGATGTAATCAAGTTAAGATGACATCATACTGAATCAGGGCAGATTCTAAATCCAATGATTGGTGTCTTTACAAGAAGAGGAGAGGACACACAGAGATTCAGAGGAGACACATGGGGGAAAGATGTCAGTGAAGACGGAGGCAGAGATTGATGTGATGCCACTATAAAGCTGAGGAACGCCAGGGGCTGCTGGGAGCCTCCAGACGCCAGGAAGAGGCACGGAAGGATTCTTCCCTCAAGCCTTCTTAAGGAGCATGTGCCTGCTGATACCATGATTTTGGACTTTTAGCCTCCAGGACTTTTAGAAAATAAAGTTCTGTTGTTTTAAGCCAGCCAATTTGGGGTAATTCATTATGACAGCCCGAGGAAACTAAGGGACAACTCTTACAACTGTATAGAACCATGTGATTGGTGCTGCTCTAACCTAATCTAACTCCTCATGTTTCTGTCCTCTTAATTCTCTCAATTATTTATTTGTATTTTCTATAGAGCTGCCTCTTATTTTTACCCTATTTCCCTTCCTCCCGCCCCTCATCCTTTTTATCCCCCTACTTTTTTTTAACTTTACTTCTGCCCCTTTTATTTTGTTCTCTTCCTTTTTGCTAATACTTTCTTCCAACAGGTTGTCATATCCTTCCATTCTGATTAAAATCTATTTTCTGGTTCTCCTGCCTGTGGTTCCTCGTCTCTGTAGGAGGAATACACTGCCTCACTCCAGTGAACTCGGGTGTGGTCACATGACTTGTTTTGGTCAATGAAAGTGGGCGGAAGTGATGTATAACACATTGAGGCAGAAGCTTTAAGAACTGTGCATAGTTTGCCATATCACTTTTCCTTCTGCCAAGGCAGCTAGTTGGTCAGCCTGCATCCCAGAGCGAATACAACGTATAGCAAGATTGCAGTAGACCTACAGTAAATATGTAGCATGAATGAAAGAAAGCTTTGTTGTAAGCTCCTGATATTTTGGGGCTGTTCATTATTGCAGCGTAACCTATCCTAATATATACAGTATTTTCTATTTCCGTCCTACTCTTCCTAACCTTCAGTGGGAAAACCTTCTAGAGCTCCCTCTTACCTTATGAATAAAGGGAAAACTGCTTAGCCTGACATATAAAATTCACCTAGCCCTGACTGCTCTTTCTCCTTTTGTTTTCATTTCTTTTGCTTTGAAAGTCATTACTAGAAAAATAGCAGTTAATCACACTAGCCACATTATATGCTTAATATTTTGCTACTCTCTTTCTTATTAATTGCTTCCTGTGAGTCACATCTCTGCTTGAGACCTGATAGAGGCTATGACTAAGCCCAAAGGAGAGCTGGGCTGAGAAAGGATGGCTGGAGTAAACTCCTGCAAGGACCCCTAGTCAGAAATTGACCCAGTGGATTGATAACCAAGGCAGAGCCGACAGAACGGAAATGGCTCAGTGCCAGGATATGATGGTAGTGCTGGGGGGTAGGAAAGGTTGCATGGGCAGAGGTCACTAACCAAGCCAGAATTGAGAATTGAGCGTGGGTCCCAGAACTAAGACCCACAGAGTATTAAATGTCAAGGTCTGAAAGACACATGGGATGTTATGGACTGAATTGTGTCCCCCCAAATTCTTATGTTGAAGCCCTAAACCCCAATGTGACTGGATTTGATGATAAAGCCTCTAAAGAGATAATTAAGGTCAAATGAGGTCATAAGGGTAGGGCCCTAATACAATAATAGGAATGGTGTCCTTATAAGAAGAGGAAGCGTGTGAGCACAGAGAAAAGGCCATGTGAGGACACAGCGAGAAGACAGCCGTCTCCAGGCCCAGGAGAGAAGCCTCAGGCCAAACCAACTCTGCTAGCACCTTGATCTTGGACTTCCAGCCTCCAGAACTGTGAGAAAATACATTTCTGTTATGTAAGCTACCCAGTCTGTGGTATTTTGTTTGGGTAGCGCAGGCAGACTAACACATGGTATCAGCAAGGAGGAGGGCCCTGCAGGCCAGGGCCTGGTCAAATTAAGCACCGACACTCTATTTCCACTGCAGCTTTGCTTCCTCCATACTCATTCCCACCTGGGGGTCTCCCTACTCCAGGGGAATCCTGCCACCTTCTGACAATGAGTGTATGTCTTGTCCCTTAGACTCTTAATGGGCAGGAGCTATGATATTTCTGTCATATCACCCAGAGGCTTGTGCTACGTAAAACAAAAAGGCTCATTCGATGCTTGAGGATTGGTTGATATGTTCTCTCATCCTTCACCTGCATTGGAGATTGCTAACCCCATGGAACCCCTGAGTGGGGTTTCAGGAGCTTGCCCACAGCTTTCATCAGATTCTCAGAGGGAATCCTAGCACTAAAGTCAAAAAAAAATTCTTCAACTTAGATGTTGGCTTTCATTAGACCCTTCTCACCAGTGCTGATATGACGTGGGTCAGTTCATACACAGGAGTGTAATAAGCTCTTTATTTATCAAAGTTCTCTCATCACATTTAGACACTGGATAAGTTTCCAAATCTGATCTACAGTTCCATCTGTCAGGTGGGTATTGTTGTAGGTTTATTGTTCTCAGCTTCATGAGCTGTAAACTATTTTAGAAACGACAGCTTCAGAAACAAGAGTTTGGCTATCTGCCCATGAACATCCCCAAAGTAAAACCACACTTAAAAGACATTGTGCATTCAAGGTCTTTTTATTTATTTTTTTTTTAAAAAAACATTTTTCTCTGTTATCTAGTTATAAGAAATAATAGTGGGTCTTTTTAATCGTATTATAAATTAATAAGTCTAGAGAAAACATCCTGTGAAACTGAGGGTCAAAAGTCTCAAGCATTCCCACCTACAAAGGAACTCTGTAGGTACATATTTAGATGAGATGAATCCAGTTTTATTTAACCAAGTTATTTTTTATGTTAGCACAGATTTCTATAAGAAATTTTATTTTGATCATTTTGTAAAAACAAAAAATATCAACTTCAGTGTTAGAAAAAATATTTTTGTTGGTTAAATCTTTTTTTCATAGCCCTCTAACCAAAACCTTCTCTATATTCTCACTGATGTAATTACCTGAAATCAGTCTCATAAACCTATATCAGATAAGTGGAGAATGCTTGTTAGGATAAGAAGTTAACATTTTGGATGCTTGAGAACTCGAGAAAATTTCCTTTAGCCAACCCAGGCAAAATCTTCAGCAATGCTTGGCCTGCACACCCAGCAACAGTTCCACCAGCCTGAGGCCTTCAGGAGATGTTGAGGAGTTGTGCCTGTGTCTCCCACGCTTCCCAGGCCCAGGTGTGCCGAGAGGCCGAGGAGACGCAAAATCGAACACAGCCCACAGTTTGATCCTTCCTCTGAGGAGACTACTGCTCACACCCTAGGCCTTGGCGAAGGAAAAACAGCCCATTGTCTGAGGCGAAATCACGTCACATCACTTCATCCTGTGCCTGGAAAGGCGGTTTGGAACAAGTAATCCTGATTCTAGAGATGTCAGCCGGTTCCCAGCTGCACCGTGACTTGTTTGCAGTTCCTAGGCAAAGTGCCCAGTTTCCGCTGCTGCAAATTTCCCCAGCTGCAAAACAGAGATAGTTCTGGTTACCCTTCTCTGGCGTGTTCTGAAAGATAAGTCGGGCAAATGTTTCTAAAGTACTTGGAGTCACTTGCCTGAGGGCATATTTGCCTAGAACTATAGGTGGCATTTTTGCTTATTTTTGTTGTGTTTTTAATGTTTGTTTTGCCTTTGGCCTGACTTTGGTCGAAAATCTAAATTAAATTACAAGCATTTGTGTAACATCAATGGAACATTTACAGTATGCAAAGCACTGTGCTGGGCACGTGGAGAGTACAGAGGGGGCACATCCCTACCCTCAAGGGGCAAACAGCTCGCTCAGAAGGACAGATTAGAGCCTAGAGGCTGAGTAACTCAAGCAGGACAGTTGGCCAAGGTCGGTGGGTGGGAATCCCCCTCTACAACTGACCAGCTGGAGACCTTGGAAAAATCGCTCTGCTTACCGAGCTTCAGCTTCCTCACATGCAAATCACAATAACTAACATTTATTGAACGTCTGCTGGGTGGCAGATGTTCTATGCACTTGTATTTACTTACTTAAAACTCAGAACAACCGCCTGAGATAGACCATATTGTCGTCCCCATATTCGTGGACAATATCACCCCATCTTATAGATAAAGATGCTGAAGATTAGAAAGGTTACATAACTTGTCCCAGGTCATACACTTGGGAAGTGGTGAAGCCAAGATGCGAACCCAACCTGCATGGCCTCAAAGCGTGCAGACTTTAACACTAGACTACACTGCCCTCAAATGGGAACGTAGTGATAGTCACCTCATACAGACTTAGGATCCACTGAAACAATGCATGAGCCACTGTTAGCACAGTGTCTGACACATAATAAATGTGCAGTAAATGTAGAAGCAGCAGTAGAAGAAATTAGACACATATATAAATAACCAGAATGCCGAGTCAAAAATAAACACATGGTCCAGTCAATTTCACAGGAAAACGCCTGCTCATGGACCAATCAATATATGGGGGGTTATAGTAAGGAGTTGTGTTGGGGGAGAGCAGTCTATGAATGGCAGTATTTCCGAATCGGCATACAAGAGAGCTATAATGTACAGGAGTGATGCTTCATATACAGGTAAATTTCTGAAGGGCACCCAAAAAAGAGTTCAGGTGTCTGCAGTAGCTATTGCTAAAATTCAGACTGTATCTGTGAGAACAATTTCCAATTAAGCAATGTAAAAATGCATCTGCGGCAATTCTTCTCCCCTTCCTTAACCTCCACCCCCCAACTTCCTTTAGGAAGAAACAACACCATGGAGTTTCTTTTCAAAGCCTTAAAATACAGATCCCCCAAAAAGGGATCCTGTTTGTAAAACCTTTTAGAGTTGTTTGAAAGAGAGAGAGAAAAAAAAAGGGCATAAAGAGCCAAGTACTTATATTCCAGCCAAGTTATGAGTCTCTGAGAACAAGAGCTTGAGGGAGGACTGTTAACCCCATCTTCTGGGGCAGAGTGAGCTCTTCCCCTGTGGGTCTGCACTGCCTGCGAAGCTCAGCGCGCCCGCTGTGAGTGAGAGGCCAGCCTGCTAGAGAACAGCAGGAATCGGCAACAAAAACGATGACAGTCTGAAATACGCCCCAGCGCCAACCTCCAAATTCGTCTGTCACTTCAGACCCTGACTAGTTGACAGAGCAGCAGAATTTCAACTCCAATAGACTTGAATGTGTTTCTGGGCAAAGAAGCAGAGCTAACGAGGGACGAGATTTAAAGAGTTTCTCTTGGGTATTTATCAAATTTTTATTTCCTGGCTGTGTGCAAAGAAGGGATTCAATTTCAATTGTCTACTAAGGCTCTGGGTCCGGCCACCTACCTGAAGGTAAATTTTAATGAATTGACTGTATCGTCTAATTGCATTTGTTAAACTGATGTGGATGATCTGATGAAGCTGTCTAATATTTGTGCCTAATACAAAGCCATTTATTTATCAAAAAAACCCTTTTGCATGATTTGCAGAAAAGCTACTTAATAAGGGATTTTAACACTTGTATTCATGTTTCCTTTTCTTCTCCAAGATTAAATAGTCAGTACTAGTAAATGCTGGTTTTAGTATAACCAAGAACACAAATGTAGTGCTGTTGTTAACCAAATTAGCATCAGATCTTGGTGAAATCCGAATCCTGAAATGTGTTTTGTAGAAATACTTTACTAAATATATTAAATAGATCATAGGAAAAGCATTTTTTTAAAACTTTCAAATCAAAGTAATTTGTGTATTTTCCATGTCTAAATAATCTGAAGTTATTCAGTCTCAACCATCGTCCGAGTCTGTACCTAACAGCAATGTAGAAATGAAACAGCTTGCTTTTGCAAAAGGTAGGAAAATCTCTATAATACTGTATTCTTCTTTGATTATTTTTTAGTTGTTGTGACTATTATCTCTTTTCTAATTCTCTTTTACAGCTTGGTGACTAACTGTTTCTTGTCTCCTATCGTTTGTTAAGATGCACACACACATACATAAAATTCCTCTAATTTCTAATAATGTCTTAATTAGGAAGGAAAAAAGGAGGGAGGGAGGGGAATCAAAGAGCTAGAGATGATGATAACCCTTGTATTGTAAGGTACTATCGTCTCTGGCTCTAGCTTCTAAAATAAAACAATAATGCAAGTCATGCTCACTCATTCCTCCTCCGTATTAGAGGTCACCCTGCAGGAGGAAACCATGCTCTCAACTGCGGATCGATACTCTCGATACTGGAAACCAAGAGGCACTGCAGAAAGAGTCTCTGTCTTGCACTGCCTTTAATCTACAGAGGCGAAAGATGTCACCTTGGCATTGTATCCGAGCTCTCCTCTGGCCCAGGGCCTGAATATACTGAATAGAAACGTTCACTCAACCCAACTCAGCAGAAATCTTTTTTAAAAATTCTCCCCTTTCTCACGGGTACCAGGCTTTTTCAGTTCACAGCTTATTCAGCTAAACCTTGATGTTTATGACTATTCTTAACTATGACTATTTAAAAAAAGAAAAAGAAAACCTCTCTTAGGAAAGATTTCTGTTTATTCAACGAGATCTAGCAAAGCAGAGCAGTCTATTTCATCTACTTATCATCCAGCCAGCTAACGCTGCGCTCCACATTTTGGAAAAGAATATGTATGTGTTATTAATGAATCTTGCCTTTTTCTTTCAGGGATGTTTTGTACAGCCATTAGGCAATCAGAGTACTGGGATTTCCTTTTCAGGTCTTTTGGGATTTAATCCTAATAGTCTGTCATGGCACAGCTTCACTTACCAACTATGTAAAAGTAATAAATAGTGATGACAGAAATGAAATGAATAGTGATGCATCTGGAAAACTCTAAAACATTATTCACTTCATTTCCTCTCAACTACTATTTTTACTCAACTGATTTGTAATAGTACACAAACATTGCTATTTCAGTTAAGTTTAGCACAATGTCCAGAAGATGTTGGGAATCTTTTTCTACCAAGAAGAAGATAAACAACTGTTGTTAAAAGACTTCTGGTGCCCTTTGCCCTCACATATCATTCTGAAACAACCTTCAGTGAAGGAAAAGGGGGCCCCATAAATCCAGAAGAATTTCCCCAGTAGGCCTGGCTGCCCAAGAGATGCCATACTAGGCCAGAGTCTGGTTCTTACAGGGCCCACAGGGCATCTTCTGCCAAAGGCTGAGCTTGCAATGGTAGTATCACTTGGAGCTAGCCTGGTTTGTGTCTTGGCATCACAAGATGGACAGAACTCTGGGGAACAGAGTGTGTGGCCTTGACCGATTGTAGGGAGATGATGTGATAGCGTGGAGAAGATCGTGAGCTCTGGAAACACACAGACCTTGTTCATATCCAGGCTTTAGCAGGCTCTATGACTTTGGGCAAATGACTCTTTGAGCCTCAGTCTCCTCATTTGTGGAAATGGAGATCATAAAATTAGTTGCTCCTTCAGAGATTGTTGTGAGAATTAAGTGAAAAAAACAGCTATGCTGGTACATATGAAGCAATCAATGGATCAGAGCTAATATTAAAGTAATAGCCTACTTAAACATCCCCACTGGAACTCTGTAGAAAGGGAATTTACTCTAGGTTTTCCCTCGGGCCTTCTTCCTTGTACTTACACACTTTGCTGTATAATCAAATGTCCATGCCAGGTCTGTGCCTCGGAGTCAGCGCAGTAGCGTGGACAGAGCATGGTTTCAGAATCGAACACACCTGGGTCTGAATCCTGAGTCTGCCTCTTACAGGCTGTGGGAGCCTGGGCAATCGCTTCACACCTTCCAGCTTCAGTTTACCCATCTATTAAGCAAATAGTGATAATAATACCCACAAATGGGGTTGATGTTGGAATTAAACAAGATGTTTTTTAAATGCCAAATACAGCACCTAGCAGAGTACTAGACACACAGGAAATTTTATTGGTTGCTTATAAGAAATCTCATACATCAATGAGAAAGTATTCAGTTCTATACTTGGAGTGATTTTTCTGGTAGTAAAATTGGGGATCAAGAAGGAAATTTTCTTTAAATCATCTTTTTTTATCCAAAGAAATGGAAAAATAAACCTGACACTATTGTATTCTCCCAGGTGGGGGTCCGGGGGCCTCAACATGAAGTATTTATGACTACGAGTCTTTACTACTTCTTCAATTAGTTGCTTCTTAATGGCCAAGTCAAATGGAACCAAAGAGAGTTTTCTGTTTCAGATTGCCATTAAGAAGAGTCAGATAAAATGCTGCTTTGCAGTCAATTCTGTTTTGTTGGCCTACTTGGACAGGAGAGAAGGCCCCCAACATTCCTCCTTTCTGATCTTTTCTAAAGGCAAGAATAGGGATTTTGACTTGTTCTAGGGGATATTTTTTCCTCTCTGACTGAGATTCAAACTAAAGGGCTTAGTTTTTGTTTTTTGTTTTTGTGAACCTCTCCCCTATGTTCCTAGCATTGAAGTGTCAGCTGCTTTTTCTGGCCACATGTAGCAGGAGCAGCCTGTTGTCATAGCAATGAAAGGGTATAGAGAGACTCGAGTTTCATGACCTGCTCTGTGAAATAACTCTTAGTCTGCTTTAAAATCCTTCTTTAGAAATGAAGTCTCCAGTCCTGGCTTGTTCCCTTCCTGTTATGCAACCAACTTATGTACACCAACTGCAGTAGCTAAATGTTTCCTTTGAAGAGTCAATGAATAGGTGATAAGAAAATGAACAAGAAAGCTACTAACACAGTGATCAGTTTACTGCGGAGCGCAGGGGACAAACAACTGGAAAGGCAAGGGCAGAGAAATAGAAATGACCTCACTCTATAACACATACTGCACATGCCGCAATAAATCCATTTTCTGAGTTCCCACGGCCTCCTCTCATCTTCACGCTGTGTTGTAGTATCATGGTTAGCCCGGGGATTCTGGGGCTGGCTGCCTGGACTCGAATCCTGGCACTCCCTAGTGTTTCTATCGTATCCACTCTCTTTGCCTTCGTCTTCTCATCTGTAAAATAGAGATCATAATAGTCATAAAATTGTGGGAATGGAATGAGATACTGTATGTAAGGCTCTTATTACAGTATCTGACCAGTGATAAAGGTTGGCTGTTAAGCTCACAAACCTCAGTTTCCCCTGCTTGTTAAACAGGGATAACAGCTAATTCATAAGTTTGCTGGAAGATTAGCTGAAATAACAGGTGTAAGTGCTCAATCAGCAGTAGTTCTTTTAATACTTTTCATCATTAATTCTAACTCTGAATACAATGGCTTTTTTGAACTTTGAGTGTCCCAGTGAGTAAACTGTAATGAATACAGGCCTCAGAATTATCATTGTATAAACATGAGCCGTTGCATTTCTAAAGAGAAAAGAAAGAATTAAGGATTTTTACATTTATAAAGAGTAAAGATTCTTCTCATCTTAACACTAGGGCGAAAGGTATTAAGACATCTTATCTTTCCTTAAAATGCTTTTGATTAAAGTTTCTGTTTTAATTTCTTCAGTGTTTTCTAGGTCATGCAGTTACGTAAATAACTAATCTTATGTCTCAAACAACTAATGGATTCAGTGTTCTACTCCATGCAAAATGCAGAGTGTCACAGGAGCGACCAGAGAGAGGGGCCGTGCTCCCGTGGAGCTTAGTGACTAGTTAGGGAGATAGTCATTAGTCAAATCATCACATTAATACACAGTGCATACGCCCAAACCTAAGGTGACCTCAAATACAAAGCCATCTTCATTTTTCTGGTGAAAATATACCCAAAGTCTTTGGCCAACCTAAATGCACAAATGGATAAAGGATTGTAATGTATACTGAGGATACTTACTCTATTGTTACGCATACATATTTAAAATCTCATTTTAAATATTTTATACTTACAATATGTTAAATATTTAATTTTAATTTAATATCAATACTTTAAATATTTTATACTTATAAAAATGACTTTTTCCATTCTCACAGTTCATGAAACAGCTTTGTTAGCACTCTCTATATGCATCTTTAACCTCAGTGTCTGTGTTCACTGGACCCACTCTGTAATTACCTAATACGGAGCAGTGCATCATCGCTTCTCTGCAAGTTGTTCGTAACACACTTACCAAAATCTGCTGACGCTGCAAATTTGATCCCCAAGCATAAATTCTCATACTATGGTGATGACCTCCTCACATTAATTACTTGCTATATTGTTTTTTCCAGTACTCTTTAAAGGGCTTATTTAAAACCACTTGAGTCTGTAATGTGTGGTTTTCTAAAGCTGCAATTTCAACACTTGCAATAATGAAGTCATACCTCAAGCATAACTACTAAATCTGTTTTAAATATCTTTATTATTTATTATCTTTTGGATTGTCAAGGTGACCTTCTTAAGAACAAAAATAAGCATTGCTAGAGATCATTTAAGGCTGTTTTCCTGAAATGGTACTTTGCAGTTCGAAATGAGGTAACTGAGATGATGGCCTTTAATGGAAGAGATCTCAGAAGCACTAAAATAGAAAGCAAATCCCTCTTTTTATAGCATAATTTGGGGGGAGGGTTGAAAAATTCACATTAAATTTGAACGTGTATTGCATATAACTATATGCTGAAGTAAGTGTTAAGAGGGAAAAGCACCTTTGTTCTAAGAAAGTGTGTAAGGAGTCTGATCTCCACTCAAGGTCAGTGATGGCTTTCCTCCATCTGAAGGCCAAATAAAGGATAACTTGGTGGTATGTGTGTGTGTGTGTGTGAGAGAGAGAGAGAGACAGAGAATGTTGGGTGGTGGTGGTTGGGCGAGCGGGTGCTGGCAAGAGAACTCTGTGAGTGTGAACACCTTGTGCAAAGAGCCAGTAGCAGGAGGGATATGGCCTGTTGAAGGAACAGGGAGAAGGCCAGCTCCTCTGAGAGCAAGGGGCAGAGGAGCGGGAGACGTAAATGCTAAGCAGCTCCCCATAAGGCCCTCTTCCCTGAGCACTAAGTGTCCTTAGCCTCCACTTGTTTCATATTTAACATGTATCTTTAACGTCTCTGTTGAGTTCTGGTTAGACTCAAAGCCCCCACAGCCATGAACCATGTCTATCCCTCACCTGGGCCCACATGGTGGTAGGTCTAATTAGAAAGGATGATGGGCAGTTGAAGGTGAGAGCTCCAGAAACATCTGTATCATTGAGTCTATCATATACACTTGCCGGCCTCGGATAGTTTGATTTCAGATGGTGACTCAGCACAGAAGTCAGAATAGAAGCGCGTCTTTTCTAATCCTTCAGATTACTTTAATGTCAAGCTACAGAGCTCTCCCAAGAGACGTATTAATACTTTAAAAGCCCTAAAGCATCAGTGTTAACTCTGGATCAGGTAACAACATGTATATGTTAGCCAAGATACGACTAAAGGATTTGTTCTCTGATAACGAAGCCTTTGGCTATCACGTAAAGACAGAATGAAGAGAATACTCTGTTTGAGTTTGATTATGAAGTACCTATGATAATCATTTTGTTTGCTACATTTCCTTCAAAGGAAATTTTTCCGTAGTTATGATAATTACTAAAAATAGCAGCCTACAGGCTTCCTCTGATATAAACGAATTCAACAGAAGATACCTGGCCTTATTTGGAAGCGTGGGTGTGCTTACTCCAAGAAATGATATGGCAATAGTAAGAAGAAAAATAAAATAACAGGACAAACAGTCAATGCAAACCTCTCCTTTTTCTAGGGTAGTTGGGATGTCTTTTTCAATTTGTTTGACTTTAGACAAGGCAAGAGGAACAGATCAAGTACTCATCATCTGCTCTGAAAACCAAAAATGCTGAAGCAAGTTTCCTTGGCCTAGAAAGAAAGAGGAGGACTTGTAAGTTTGGCTGAGGCTTCCAAGAAAGGAGCCAACAACTAGGGGGAGGGGGAGAGGTTCAGCTTGAAGGACTCAAGGCAACGTGAGGAAAATTCAATTAGAAAGACTTGAAGCAATAACACCTAGCACTGAAATTTCCGAGGAGTCATTGACATAGCCAATACGAGAGATGGAAAAGAATAGACTCCAAGCCTATTCCTCCCTTTAGAGGGATGCATGGCCATGTTTACACTAGTTCAGTGATCAGACAGCTCGTTAATGCTCAGAAGAAAAGGAAAGAGAAAGGGGATAAAAAGAGAAAAGAGGTATAGCGAGATGAGAAGTGCCCAGTGGTGACAGACGGTTACGTTAAATAAATTTAAGTGGCAAAGCAACATGCAGAATGTCAAAAATAAAATTTACCTTTTTAAGTTTAAATTCAAACTAATGTTCTCAATTAATAAATTAATTAATGTTCTAAAAAGAAACTATAGGGGCCAGCCCAGTGGCTTAACGGTTAAGTTCACGCACTCTGCTTTGGCAGCCTGCCCGGGGTTCACTGGTTCGGATCCCGGGTGCAGACCTACACAAAGCTCATCAAGCCACACTGTGGTGGCATCCCACATATAAAATAGAGGAAGATGGGCACAGATGTTAGCTCAAGGCTAATCTTCCTCAGCAAAAAGAGATGGATTAGTGGTGGATGTTAGTTCAGGGCTAATATTCCTCAAAAAAAAAAAAAAAAAAACTATACGAACTGAAAAGAAATCAAATACAAAAATCTACTCTGACCTAATCTTATTCTAATTTAAATTTCTAGAAAATATTGTAGAAACTGAAATGGAATGAATTATAAATAAAAACTCAAAATGAACCAGAGTACCCAAAATATATTCTGGTTGCTTTTGTAAGTTCACTCCTAAGTCTAGATGCAGAATGATGTCCTAGGCTGTGCCAAACTTTAGACACACTGCCTTTCTCTAGGAGATAGAAATTTCAGGACACCAAAAGCCAGAGAGACTAGGAAATGTCCTATGTTCCCTACCAAATGCAAGGTCAAAGTAGTATTTAGCTATCATGCGTACTGCTTTCCACGTGCCACCTGAAGGACTGTGTACTCCGTCTTAGAGGCGGGAGCTGGCATTGCTCCAGCAGAAATCAGCGGTGGCTGACACACACATGGCCCTTTTTGCGTGTGCCTTTCTGGCCAATCCCTGCAGGCTTGGCTGGGCTACATTTCCAGCTAGAGGGGAAAATATTCAGGCCCTTTTTCTTGTTTTTTCCACGGACAGAACTTGTAGACCTGCTGAGAAATCTAATTACAACCTCCTTTCATGGTGAAATCCAATTACAACCTCTCCCTTGGTGAAAGCCAATCCTTTTGATACAAAAGGAAGCTAAACAAAGGGGTTTCAAGCAGGGGATGTGCCTGTGTTCTGCTTTCTCTCTTAGGCAACTATGCAGAAAGGTTACAATGACCTTGGCTTTCCTTGCTTAGGAACAATGGGCATAACCTATTAGGACTCCCTTTCCCATAAGAAGAAAAAGTATTTTCATTTCTAACGCTGGGAGTTTCTGGGGATTTGCTCAAGGATCCATTTGTTGGGCAAAGCAAATTTTGAGCCACCCTCCACACACACACTTTTGATTCAGCAAGATGATGTCTCTTATTGAACTTGCAATGTCAAGTTAAAACCAGAAAAAAGTCGTGAGTTGTTTAAGCCAATCTCCTCTTGTAATCTGCTCCTGGCATCTTTAGTGTTCTCTCCCACCATTTCAGCCAACCTGTTTGCTTGAGGAAAATGAGAAACTGCAGAGCTGCTTGCAGAAGGGCCACCCTTAATTCCTAAAACCTAATTGAGATAAATGGAGACAGTTCTCAAAATAGTCATTCATGGAAATATATATTTTATAAGTCGCTGGGATAAGTGTATAATTGATGAAACAATAAAATTACTAAACGTGTTTAATCAAATCTGTATCACTACTATAGTCTACTGAATATGTATAAAATCCAGATTTTCAGCTTATCCCCCAAAATAGACAAAATTTTTGTAAGGAGCATCTGGTCAACTAATAGGTTTTTAATTGAATATGAGTGGAGTGAGGAGTGGTAAATGCTTTTGTTTTCTTTTGTTTTGTTTTAAATTGGATAAAGTTTACCCAAGGTTCAATAAAAATGCTATGCCGATAGAGTTAC